TTGCGGTTGGCAAGTGGGTCCACCTAGCATCACTAGACGTCACCAGCATCCCAGTCACCTACTCCAGGCCACACAACGAGAGGAGGTGGCAGCTAGCTAGGCAACCCTGCCATGCACAATGCTAGCTCCATTAAGGGAACTCCTAGCCCTAAGGGACACGCAGCGGGCCCAATTTGTCAACATGTGATAAGACCTATCATACCTAATTCCCTCATGTAGGGTCCATTTGTAAGTGACAACCACTATGGTATCTCCCAGACAAAGTCAACTATAAGGGAAAGATGAAGGCCACAAAGAAGGGGATCAGACTTGAGTAGTTCTAGCTGAAAAAAGTTTCACAAACTATAAGATTTGGTAAAGAGAGATTAAGAGAAGAGCACAATAGGAGTAGGGCATTACGCTTCCAAGCGGCCCAGACTTAAAACCTCTTGTCTCCCTCTGTGTCACCTGATCACGACCTTGTGTCCATACACCTGCTCCCTAGGTGAATCCACTAAAACAGATTCCTTTGGTCCTGTTGATGCGAAAAACACACACTGGCCTGGGAGATCTGCTTAGCTCCAGCGCAGGTCCAAAGGTTGATGAGATGCGGGCGTGCCAGTCAGTTTGATCCTGCAACTGACAAGACATACAAACAGCAGATCAATGAGCCGATCGGCTGACCAGCCGATGAAGCAATTCCAGCCGATGCCGATACCAGCCGATAGCGATAGGGTTTTGAGCAATCGGCTATATGTCCAATGTATATAATGATATGAAGGCAATCGGCTGATGATAATATAATATAGCAATATAATCCAGTATGATCCGAAGGTTTAACAAGTATTGATCCGAAGGTTAAAGCATACATCGGCTGGAGGTCCGATGTCATAAATCCACAAGATTAGATAGATCAATGAAACCTTTGTTGTCATCGGCTAAATCCAACTTATATGTATATTCAATCCTTATAAGCCGATGCAACGTCCAGATAACATATCGGCTAGCACCCCAATAAAACACTAGCATGAACCTATCGGCTTAACAAGACTTATATTATCAACAACAATCTAGTAGGTCGAACCTAACCGATGCAGCACGAGATTGTATATGATAGTCTAATACTCGATGAGCCGATAGATCTGTCTAATGTAATGGATATAACAAATCTATTTACAACAACATTGTGATTGTAGAGATATATCGGCTAAGACAGAAGATCGGACCTAACCGAGACAGTCCCAACTAAACCGATGCGTCTCTAAACACAATGTAATTAGAGATAGAATTGAGATATCAGGTAGGCAAATATATCAACCAAACCAGAGCGATCCAAGAGATCGAAGCGATGCAGCCTTGAACAACACCAATGCAGCCGATAGATTCACCAGGGTCGGCGGAACGTAGGACTTACCCCTTCGCCGGAGATCGAAAGTCGATGCAGCCCCGCATTAGGTGCCAAGTTCCGTCGGATGATAAGTAAAAACCTTGGTAAAGAGGGTGGCGATGCGCCGAGAATAGTTGTATTGATAGAGAGATTCATTACAATGACCCCGGGTGTACATATTTATACCCATGGGGAGTTACTAGTTCTTGTAGAACAAGAAAGAAACTTTCCTAAAGATAAATGGAAAACATAAAGTCCTTATAGGACACTAAACACACATCCCTAAAGATAAAAGGAAACTAACAAACTATTCCTAATTAATATATAACTCGTCATGCCGCATCCTCCTTGAACTTGGTCACTTCTGGATAAGTTTTCTTTAGTAGATTAATTTCCTTAACCGAATATAGTAAGAATCCGACAACTAGAGACTTGATAACTCTCATCGGCCGATCCCAGGACTCTGAAGCCGACACTGACTTTAGACCGATGGTGACTTCGGGCTTACCAAATTTTAACAGGTCCCTCACTATTATAGCTCGAGCTTCGACATTTGCTTACAATACCGGCATGGACAATCCCCCACGCCTCCCCCCTAACCCCCTCTTGCTGAAAAGTCAAGTGTCGTGATTTCAAAACGAGCACTTATGGCCTTTCCGAATTGGCGTTGATGACGTTTTTCTGTGCAATGGTAGATATTAGATTTTTCTTACATAAAAAGTAAAACTTTTGGCCTTTTTGTCGATTAAGAATACACATAATTACATGTATGAACTTCAGGATTTAAATCCTGATGGGAAAATTATGCACCCATGGATTAATCCACCACATAAACGTTCTTTATCATACACAGATATTACTACTGACCTATAAGCTACTTAATTTCATCGATGCCAATATATTCATGGGTGCAAGTTGATCGATGCAAGTATAATTAAAAAGAACACTTTTGAGTTTTGACTAATACCCTAGCTAAGTAGCTAGCATATGAATGGCCAAGTCAGAATCGTCATCGAATCTGCTAGTATTTGACATCACTAAGACACTAACCACTCCGATATGAAAGATAGTACTAGTATACTAGTACTAGATACATGTACAATCGAGTTGGCAAGGCCCCAGTGGATAAAGAATTAATGCATGCCGCGCAGCATTTTTTCTTGATGAATGGACATATTTATAATTAATTAGTTAAACTAGATCATGCGCATGTTCGGTTGTGGCTGCTGCCTGCTTGATAAAATAAGCAAATAAATATACTAGTGCTATGAATCTACATATATTTCTATCTAAATTTATAGTAGTATATGTCTAATCCAGCCATTTGATTGTTATATTTTAAAACGGAAGAAGTAATGGTTGGTCAATGATCCCCCTCTCTCTCTCTAATTAATTCATTGGGAATAAACTCCGCTGGGGAATAAACTCCCCATCAAATATATATATATAGAGAGAGAGATATACTATATGTATGTATTGTTTCTTTCCATCTGCTGGAGAAGGCTTCTCTCAGCCAGCCGAGCGGTGGTAGCACGTGTACTAGCTCTGTGTGTGCGTTCTTTGTGGATAAGAAAGAGGGAGAATAATGGAAAGGGTTTTATTTTTTGAAACGAATAATAATAGAAAGGATAAGATAGAAGGAGAAATGAAGGGTGATCCAGTATTGATGGCCGATACCGTCGTCCGTCACTCGCCGAACGGCTGGTATCCCGGTAATTAATTAGCACTTCGCCACTTCCATATATAAATAAAATCCTAGACCTTCGGTTTTGGTGACTTGTCTCTGTCTAGAGTTTGCGGTGAAAAACACATTATACTTCTTTTTAGATAATGGAGGCAATCAAATCAAATTATATAGACATGGTTTCAATTTTTATGGGCAGAGTTGAGAGTCCACGACACAGGGGTGATCTCATAAAGTAGTCCTCGGAGCAGTTGCGATAGCTAGCTAATCGATCACTACGTACTAGCAACTACTCATCAAGCCAGTTTAATTAGTTCACTTTGTTCTTCAGTTTAATACTCCCTCCGTATTTTAATGTATGACGCTGTTGGCTTTTGATAAACGTTTGACCTTTCGTCTTATTCAAAAAATTTATGTAATTATAATTTATTTTATTGTGACTTAATTTATCATCAAATTTTCTTTAAGCATGACATAAATATTTTTACATTTGCACAAAAATTTTAAATAAAACGAGTGGTCAAACGTTAGTCAAAAATTCAACGGCGTCATACATTATACGGAGGGAGTAATAACTATCATTCATGTTTATTCTCTCTCATGTACTCTCCGATCGCGCTCTGCTGACCTAGCTAGATAAAACAGAAATATATGCATTGCATACATATATATACTCCTATAAGCAAGAGGTTGATATTATGCATACATATATGTATTATATATAGTTTGCATGCATATGCTTATTTGCCGTTATGAATCCCGTAGGTAGTCGTAGTAGCAGAAAAAGGAGGATATTCGTCATGAAAGATGTGTCTGCCGTCCCAGAAGTTGAGTTTGACCTGATCATCACCAGCCTGCGGTCAGAAAATCTAACGGCCACATACGTATACGTATATAGATTCATCAACAAAATATGCAAACCGGCCCGATCATCTTGAGCAAGTTGACAGTTGCTAATGTGATGGCTCATATACATATAGTTTAATTTATCTAGAAGAACTGACACCGAATTTAAACTAAACAAGAGAAAATAGAATTGATAATTATTTCCTGCGGTACGTTTTGACCTACTTAAAGTTTGAGCAAATTTCAGAATACCCCCACATTTATGATCTAAGTCGTAGAAAACCAAAGGTTTAAGACGTGTGGCACATAACCACATGTTTTTACCCCACCTTTATTCAAATCTTGATTAATTTCAGCATATATTAAACAATTTTTTAGTAGTGAAGATTTAAACTAAGTCAAGAACTTAATAATTATTTCTCAAAAAAAGAACTTAATATTTAAAAATTTCATTAACATTTTAAGTAAATCCGCGTTCAACATGCATAAGTGTGAGGTTTTGTAAAACTTTAGAACATATATATGAAAAGTATAGGACAAATAATACAACGCAAAAATAACACCATTAATTTTTACTGATGATCCGCTTGTATTATTTCCGTGCACTACATTAGCAGACAAAGTACGTCATGCATACGAAGCAACTACCAATAATTGTGAGAAAAGAAAACAGAGACAATGGGTATCTAATATTTTTTTTAGAGGTAAACCATGATCTGAGTAGTATTATATTTCCATGTTGGGTGGTTAATTCAATGGTTGCAGCTAGCATTCGCTGCATTTGGCCTGCCTCTGAGTGACATCGCAACGCCTTTAAACTAACTGCAGATAAGGGAGAAGGGAGACATGTCATACACCTACTACATATATATCGTAATAATGTTATTTTTCACAAATATATCAGAGTAAAATAAAAAGGGTCAAAATCACGTTAACAAAGACAGCTAGCATATACTAATAAGCGATCGAGGAAACATAGGCTGTGGATACTATATGATCACCAGCAAGTCACTACAATTAATGTTAGGAAATCAGATTGGGAGGTGTTAAAATGTTAGCACTGATCATCTTGATAAAAAGAAAAGGGTATTAGGAATTAATGTGTTTTTGGAACACGTATGATTTTTTCATTCCTAAAATATTGTACAAAAATTATGCAGAATTAATTCATGTGTTGGAGACCACCTTACCTATGTTTGTTCTTAAAAATAATCTCGGTAGCAAATAATTAATGGACAAAAGGAGTAGCAGGTTTGGTCAGTACCTCTCCTAAGCTATGCTATGTACTACGGTACCTGACTCCACCCCACCAGGCCAGCATGATAATAGTATTGGACAGACAGGGAATAATGGTACAACAAAACAAAACAAAACAAAACAAAGACACTGACCAATGGGACCCACAGCGCGGGTTTTGACTTTTTGTTTGATTTGAAGTTAGAATAGATGAGATAGACGACTAGACAAGGGAATTGGAATGGGACGCCGGCGGCGAGTCAACCACCGGGGCAGCCTCGTCGTGGCGGCTCTCGCGGCCGGCGAACCAGCGCGCTGTACGACGAGCGATGGGGACCCAGCGGTCCTCGTGCGCCAGGCGCTCCCTCATCGCCGCCCGCAGCCTCGGCAGGCTCACCATCTCCGACATGGACCGCACTGATCCCGACGACGACGACGATGATATCATCCTCGCCCTCGCCGCCGCGTCGACTGATGACCTGCCGCCGCTTGCCGCCAGCAGTGTCTTCCGCTGATGATCATGATCTGTCTCCTCCTCCTCCGTCTCCTTGTACAGCTCCATCTCCATCTCCACCTCCATCGTCTCCATGGACCGAAGCAGCTCCGTGTCGAGCGCGATGAGGTCGGAGGAGTTGATCTCGCTCCATCGGCTCTTGAACACCGCGTCCGACACCACGATGCGGTGCTTGTAGCGGTCCAGATCAGGGCAGTGTGCCGCTGCCGCTGGCTCCATCCGCGACGACGGAACGCGCTCGACGAAGATGCCCAGGAGGTCTTGGTCGCCGTCAAAGCGCTCGGACTCGGACGCCCCCCCGGCCGGGACGAAGCGTGCGCTGGAGGCGTACTTGAGGCCGAGCGCGGCATCTTCGGCGTCGACGCGCGCGCGGCAGAGAGGGCAGCTGGCCTTGGACTCGAGCCAGCGGTCGACGCAGTCGAGGTGGAAGGCGTGGCGGCAGCGCGGGAGGAGGCGGAGCAGGTCCGCGTCGTCGAAGCGCGCCAGGCACACCGCGCACTCCAGCCCCTGCCTGGCCCCGCGGAGAGCCGCGAATCGGAAGAAAGGCAGAGACTCGATCACCGGCTTGGCGACGCCGTCGTCCGCCGCCGCCGCCGGGACGACCGTGGGGGCGGGGGCGGCGACGGGGGAGGATGGATGGCAGAATTTGGCGTACATGAGGAGAAGGAAGGTGAGCGAGAAGATCATGGTGAAGATGCCAACGACGATGGCTACGCTGGGGCGGAACGACACCTTGATGCCTACGCCGGGCGTCTCCGGGGCGGCCTCGGCGGTGGCCGGCTGCGCTGCTGCGACGCAAGCAGCGGCGGAGAGGAGGGCGGCGACGAGGGGGAGGCGTGTCGTTGTCGACATGGACACCGCACCCATCGCCCGGATTCCTCTCTTCAGTTTCTTCTTCTTCTCTTTTCTTTTTCAGTTCAGACGCTGCTGCCTGTAGTGTACTCAGTCTGTCTGTCTGTACATGTAGTGTGTGACTGACCTCCTCTACCTTCTCTTAATTTGTTTAGAGTATTCTTTATTATAACTACTCCTACTAATCCAGTGTCAACTAATGTAGTGTCCTGTGCAGTGGGCCCCAGCAGATGACGTCCTTCTCTACTTAATCCCCCATCTCTATCTATCTCGATACTATTCTTTCTTTCTTTCTTTCGGTGTTTCTTTCTGTTGTGCTATATACGCCTGCGTCTGCGCTTGCAAAAAAGTTTTGTTTCTGTCCTGCTAACCTCTTCCTCCTCGCCTCATTCTCTTCTTGTTATTAAATTCTCCAGCGCAACATCATTTTCATCTGCCCACTTCCGGTGGCAACAAAACTACGTCCATTTGCTTCGTCGATGGATGGGATTGTACTATAACTGTCATTTCCTTCACAGATAAGGGCGTTCTAAGTTTGGGCCAGGACTAAGCCCATCCCGCTGCATATTGGGTCCAAAGGAATACTTGTAAGGTAAAAATAGGTATAAGTCCACCTAAGATCCTAATCTTGATGTCGAGTTTAAATCGCTCCCTTAAAACGCAATATTCAAATATAAGACGTTAGACGTCCCTCACCTTGCATTACCAAACTACGTAAGATCCTTGTCTGGTTTCATCTTGGGACCCACGTGGACCCATATGATAGGGGCTACCTTCTTCTTCTTCCTCTACTCTTCTCCATCCCTTCTCTCTCTTCTGTAACCTACAGCCTCTCTCTCCAATCTCACAACTAGGACTTGTCGGGATTCACAAACATCACAGAGCGGCATATCCTCTCTCCTATGCGACGCAGGCAGCGGTGCCTTGTCGGGAGAGGCAGAGGTCGAGAAAATTTATATTGACGTTTTTTCTCATGTCCAACACAATATCACCTAACGAGTTACGGTATAATCAATAGAGCCACCAAAATCGATATATCAAAAACCAGCTAGTAAATCTGATTTTGAAACTAATTCACTTTCATATAATCACACGACTAATTTACGAGCAAATTAGTAAATGAGATAAATATCGTACTTACGTAACGACGAATGACTAGTTTTCGAGGAAACTAGCAAAGAATAACTTTCTTGCTTTGTTGAAGAAGCTAGCACGACCGTTTTTCAGAGCAAAACGACAAATCTTAACCAAATTTTTTAGTGCTAGAACTCAGTCATAAAAAAGTAGAAAATAATAAGGTATACAACAGAAATTGATATATTATATGTATAAATAAGATATATCTACAACCGGACTCCCTATATACTCTCTCCGTCTCATAATATAAGGGATTTTGAGTTTTTGCTTGTACTATTTGACCACTCGTCTTATTCAAAAAGTTTTGGAATTATTATTTATTTTTTTGGTGACTTACTATATTATCCAAATCCAAAGTACTTTAAGCACAACTTTTTATTTTTTATATTTACATAATTTTTTTAATAAAATAATACAAACAAAAACTCAAATCTCTTATATTATGAGACGGGACGGGAGGAGTAGATGGTAACCTCGCACGAATCCGCAAAAAGATGGATTAAATTCTGTTGCCAAAATATTTCTCCACTACACAGAACGGTTGCACCCAAGCCGACTGCTCTCAATTGCATCCAAACAGGCCGGCCCCTGCATGCAGTTCGACACAACCTGACCACATCCTGCACACGTTGCAGAAATTTGTCTTCCACGTTGCTGCTCTCACTCAAAAAACCTGACAATACAACTCACACGTTATTAGTTTAACAGCCCTGCTACACAGCTTTTTTTTTTAATAATGTATTAAGAAACCCGACCTCTACATCCATGATAAAATGTACACAGCCAACACAGCTTGAATTTGCCTGGTTATAGTAGACCTTGTGGTTATGTTTGTTTGGCCTCTTCACTCAGCAGGGCTTCTCTTCATCCTGCCTCTTTGTTGACTGATAAACCTGTAGTGTAGTGCATACTCCATACTAGATGTGAGGCTTCAATCTGGTCGGTCAGACCGAACTATCGTAACTTTGGTGGTAATAACAACTTGGGTTTCCTAATCCTGTTTCTGAAGAGAGACCGAAGTTTTTTTTGGAGGATTTTTATGCTACACTATACTACAAAAGTATATACTTATAGTATAAATTAAGGTGTAGATTCATCCAATCTTCCTTTCGATTAGTTTTGCAGTATAAATCGAAAAGAATATATTTGTCTTTTCATCTTTTTGCGTGAGGGTATTTTTGTATTTTCGCGTTTCAGAACCTGCTCGAGAGAGTGGCTCAGATGAAATCAGCTTGAGAGAAATCCGTTCCCTTTCCTTCGTCCCATGCGCTAACGCCGCTGTGGACAGCCACCGCACCGCGTCCCTGGCTCGCCGCCGATATCCACCGCGAGCAAGCGCCGGCCCGCCCCGCACCAAACGAACAGACAAGAAATTCCAGCACATGTACTACTCGTCTATCCGTCCATGATATATGCATGCCAGAGTCCTAATCTCTTGCCCGTCTCGTCGTCGATAGGTCGGCATGTTCGCTAGCTACATACTCGGTCCGTAAAAAAAACGCTAGCACAAATGGACGACGAGATACAGAACAATTACTCCTGAATCCTGATGAAAATAAATCTCAACTTCAAATGATTTAGCAGCCCTTTACATGTTTTAAAAGAAATACCTACTAGTATAATGTCGAGTCGCCTATAAATCAGACGCTCGATTTTTTTTTTCAAAAATCGGTTGCTGTTACACCAGGTAGATTGAGCATGTTTCACCAGGTAGATCGAAAATGTTTCAGTCTTTTAAAAAGCTAAAACACAATCAAATCAACTCATGAAACATTTTGCTACAACGTATGAAACAAACGGTTATCCAAAAAATTAGATGTTGTTTCATGTTGGTATTTCTTAACGACATTACTAGAAATATTCATTCCTAGCAATGGTGCCAGAAATAGTCCTGGTATATTTATGGTTACAAAATTAATCCGCAAGCGTACAGATGTACCATTGTAGCATTTCACCCGAAAGTATTCTAAGGTATCGTATTTTTAATCCCAAAGAAAGATAATAAGAGCGAACTTTACTAATGCACTTGATACATATATTACTTATAATTGTCAAAGCCTAAACAGGGGTTAGATATAACATAGGGGTAGAGCGACACGAAGGGAAGCTATTCAATCCTCGTAACAAAATAATTCTAACTAAGTGGAAGAAGAAATAGAAATCATTCAATTCCTATACTTCTAATATACATTCAAATCTTTCCAGAACTGTAGCTTCATGGAAATCTTTCTGTTGGGCGCATGGAATATCTAAAAGCAAAGGAATGGTTATATTTTTGAAAACATTCTTCCCTCAGTTGTTTCCTGGAGGATCTCACTTAAGAGTGATCTGATCCTTTTGCTTTTTAGATTGAAGGAGATTGATAAAGGTGTAATTATAAATTGGATTAGAGTCTTGTAATTTTTTAGTTTTTTACCTTTATTAATAAAGCTCTTTTAACAGCGGGGGCCTCCCCTGTTGTGTTCCTTTTTTTTTAAAAAAAGTATCCACTCAAATTCTAGTTTACATCTGCTAATGTACAATCATGTGGCCAATATCCCTAATAGTGTCCTCCTGGTACTTCGAGAAACCACCCTGGGCTGCCGAGTTTCTTACGACAACATGTCATGGCCGTCCAACCGGGGCTAAATACGGAGGAGTACCCTCCCCAGGAATTTGTCTTAGGAATATATACTAACGTGGAGGAATACCCGTACTGAGCTGTCACCATCAGCGGCTCACCTCTACTGTCCTGCAGCATATATGCCCAATTGATGATATTTAATAATCTAAGCACCATGCTCACATTATTAAATACTACTCTGATAAATCAGACATTAAACCCGCACCATTACACCTCTATGGTAGGCTATCCACACAATTAACATGATGCAGATATAAAGCAAGACCAATACTTAGACTAAATAAAGTACCGAAGATATATAAAGAAGAGTATTTTAGTAATTCGGAAAGTATTACAGAAGAGATTACAAAAGCTGCTAGAGCCATACCGAAAACTATTCCGAAGACTCCGAGGACTTCCGAACACTATTCTATACTACTCCACTTAGCACTATACTACTAATACTAATGTATGAAAAGAAATTGAGCTTGCTTGAGTGTGTTGAGAAGTGAAGTGAGCTCCTCCTTTTATAGGGCCGGTATGACGGTTACTTCATGCGAAATGTTCATTTTACCCTCGTAACCGTCATCAGCAATGCATCCTAGACATCCATGTGTAAGGGGGGAGGGGGCGAGCCGACTTGCCCCTGGTTCGGCTGAACCAGGGTCGGCTCCAACCGACCTCCCCTTCAGTACAATGGCTGACAGGTGGGTCCCATTTGACAGTTAAGGTGGTTTCCGGACGTCTACATCTGACATGTGGGCCCCCTTATCCAATTGCTTGCTTAGGAGTGAGGTTTTCTCCACTTTCTCTTTATTTTATTTGATAAATTCCTGTAACATGTTATTCTCCAAGTACAAGTGGAAGTATATTATTTGCAAATAAGCATGCATTGTAAGCATGGCTAGTTCTTCATTTTTTTTAGTTATATTGACGGTCGAAATTTGTCTGTAACGACTGTCAATATTTCAATCTATATAAAAACAATGTTTCAGCAAATAGCAAAATAATGTTTCAATTCACTGCTATATTTGATCTATACATAGTGAAACATCATGAGTACACTAGCTGAAACATTGTTGGTGGAACAAAAAATGAAATAGATTCCTTAATAGAGCGTTTCCGGAATATGTGAGTGATTTGTTGCAACGGCCACAGATGGTGGGGTGCTTGGTGGGGGAGGCACGCGAGCGTGCGAGGCACGGCGGGAGCACAGGAGGCGCGGGCGTCCGATTTTCTCTTCCGCGATCAGGCGCCCGGCACGTGGGATTTTCCGTATAATGTACCTTAAAAATTCTCTTTTTTAGACCGGACCGAACCACCTTTCTGGCCTCCTACTCCACTAGGGGTGCGTTTGGTTCCCGGT